GTGGCACAGCTCCTCTGTTCTGTTGGTTTCTTTGTCTCCGCCTCTGGTCTCTGCCTGACACCTTTGCTCTATTGCTGGGGCCTCGGCCACTTCAGACAGAGATGTCGAATAGGCTCTTCTGACAGAGATGTCGAATAGGCTCTTCTTGGATGGCCTTGAGCTCTCCCTGCTTCTGAGGTGGCTTTGAGGTGTGGCTAGTTTCTTTCCGTAGACCATACCCCCAAGGAAACAAAGGGTGTGACTTGATTTACATCCTCTACTAAGGTTGAGACCTAAATCCCACCTTCATCTAGCCCATTAGTGGAGCAGAGAACTCCCTCAAAATGGGATTATAGTCTTAAGTATTCAAAAATAACAAGAACAACAAAAACTCACTACTATAGTAGACCCAATAGGGTAGGCTAGAACTGCCCCTGTGAGTTTCTGAGGCCCTCTATGGGTGCACAAAGCCTTTTCCTTCTCCCCATGGCAGACTGGTGATTGTGAACTGCTACCTACTAGCCCTTGTGTAACCCCTCTGCACCCAGGGCTCCTCAGCGACAGGTGTGCAGTCCAGAATTGGGTGGTACATCACATAAGGAATTACGGCTAGAAGGGTCTTATTAATTGACTACATGCCAATGTTTAATCTATTATTTATGTAGTAGTCTAGAACTTAATTGAATACTGGATTTTAAAACTCAAATTTGAAAACATTTTTCTTTCATGAAGTGATGCTTTCTAGACTGTTCCCCAGATGCTCATATCTTTCCTTATTGAAGTCGCAGTGATGATGTAATGTCGTCTAGCTCTTAGTAATATTGTGGTTTCAGCTGAAAACCAAATTGTCCTTGACTATGTTATAAAAAGAAAGGGCTTTCCTCTGCTTGGATTTGGATGTACTTTCAAATGTGGAGCCAGTGAGATCTATCCCAGATGCTTATCCGTGTCTCTCCTCTGTTCAGATATTTGTTTGTATGAGTCATTTGCCCACTGTGTGGTTTGTCAGTCAAGTTGTATAAAACATCGAAAAAAATAAAATCGATGTAAACAGGTTTGTTTTGTATGATTTTTAAGTAGAATTATCTGACCCATTATTATTATTATTTTTTAAGTATACAAAGAAAGTGAGAAGGATCATTTATAAGTTCTGCACTCATTTTTCCTCTTCTGGCCCGTTATTATTTTGTTTTTCAGGCTTCAGAGACATTCTTTCCTGTTTTTCTGACCATTCCGTGGTGAAAGCTGACTCATACACTTGCCAATATCCAGTTCATTATTGTAGACAAGGTTTCTAAATTTCCTTTATAGCAAGTTTCTGATGAGCGGAGGAGGAAGAGAGAGAAAGGGAGGGAGAGAAGGAGGTTAAGGTTACATGGAAAATTACTGAATTGCTGAGCAGTTTGAATATAGTTTGATGAAGTAGGCATGAAAGAAAACGGAAAAAAAAATTGGGAGAGGCAGGATTGGGAGAGAGGAAAACTAGGCTGCTTATATTGTAGGAATAAAAAAAAGAATTATACCTTTTAATTCTTTTCACCAGTAAGATTTTGATGATTAATTGACTTTTCTTGATAATAAGAAAATAACAAAAGTGCTGTACTATCAAAGGAGCAGATCTTGTATAATCTTAGCTATTTATATAGCCATAGCTCTGGATTCATTGGATATTGAATGATTTTGATAGCAAATTGGCAATATTGTTTTCACTCAACTATAAGAATAGAGTTTTGTGTATTCCAGGACATTTCTGTAGTTCTCCCACCTCATATAAGAGGATTATGTAACCTTCCCCCTGCCCCCTACTCAGAATGTTTATGTTAATAAGTAAAATCTTGGCATCTCAGTCCCCATGGCATGAAGGTAGGTTGTCCTGATGTTTCTGACTTGCCTCTCCTTTCTTCATTGAATCTCTGTTCTACTGACATCTGAAAGGCAGTTCACATCAAGTAAAAATCATTAGGTATTATTAAAAATAATTGTTCTATTTGTTCCATAAATATAGGATCAGATTTGATCACTTCTTCCATTAAATATGTCATACTTCTACTACTACACACAAGCTAGGATTTCCTAGTTTTCCCTAGATCTCTAAATTTATCTCCATCTCCTCTCATATTCATTCTGTGTACCTCTGACCGTGTCCTCTGCCTCCAGTGGGTCATGCTTTTTCTGTACGTGATTGGCCAGGCTTTTTACCTTTATCTTCCTGGTACTATAAAAAAAATTAAACACATAGAAAGTTGATAGGAAATTTTGATCTATCAAAATTCTACCATTAACATTTTATTCTACTTGGTTTTTTTTATTGCCTATCCTCTGTCATTACTTCCAAATGATTCTTAATGCATATCATTAAATAGAGTTAATTTTCATATTAACTTTTTAAATTACGGTAAAATATATTTTTCTATTTTGTTGTGTTCACCATTTAAAGTGTACAGTTTCATGCGATTAATTACATTCACCATGTTGTACACCATACCATTATCAATTTCCAAGTTTTTTTTATCATCCCAAAGAAACTCAGTACTCCTTAAGCAGTAGTTACCAATTTTTCTCTCCCTCAGCTCCTAACCACTAATAATTTTTCTCTATCCATTTGTCTATTCTAAATATATAAACAATCATAAAATATTTGCTTCTTTGACAACAGTGTCAAATGTGTCAATTTTCTCAAAAGAAATAATGGAAAATAAAGTCTGAAAGTATCCACTGATTTTAATAATGTGGAAGTTATGGGGAAGGGAACACATTTCCTAGAAGGTGTTGGCGGCAAAGGCAAAGTCTCAAAAGTTGAATAATTATTGAGAGGTGAAGAATAGGAGATGGGCTGCAGGTAATTTGTCCTATTTGCAGGGAAGGTCAAGAAGGGCTCCTAGCAGCTGCAGAAGGATGTATTTGCTGTTCATTGCTAGGCCATCGAGTCAGTTTCCTTTCACCATGGCCTATGTACAACAGAAGGAAACACCACCCAGTCCTGAGCCATCCTTACAATTGTGCTTGTGTTTGAACCTATTGTTGTAGCCACTGAGTCCAAGACTTCCCTCCTTTTCACTACCCCTCCACTTTACCAAGTGTGATGTCCTTCTCCAGGGCGGGTCTCTCCCAACAGTGTTTTAGAGTCTTGGCGAAGTCTCCCCATCCTTGTCTCTCAGGAGCATTTGGCTGTACTTTCTCCAAGACAGATATATTTCTTCAATCAAGACAGCCTCATCTCAGGCATGCTTCTTTCTCTCTGACCCTCAGCCTTGCAGCTCTGTGGCTTCTTGTCCTCTTACCCTACTTTAGCAATGTTACAAAGCTCTCTTAATAAGTATCAAAGGCACCCTACTGTGACAATTATCTTCTACCTGAAGCACTTAATTCTAGGTCTGTAGATTGCAAACCTATCACCACCAAGTGCCCAGAGACCTCTCTGCTAGCAAGCTCCTGCCGGAAGTCGAAGCCCCTGCTCACTGTGAGGGTCAGGAAGTCCCGTCTCTTGGTTCTGCTGCCTCTGCTGCAGCTGTTTTTGCTTCTTGCCATCTCTCATTGTCTCTGGTGTCACAGCTTTCGGTCTCCTGGCGAGAAGAGGTTCTCAGTACAGGATCCTGAGTCCAAAGGACACATTCCATTCCTGCCTTTTTTGGTGGCAATGAGATCTCCCATTCTGCCTCTGGGGTGGCTCATTTTAATTCTCGCAGGATGGCAAAACTGACTGACCAGTTTCCATATTAGGGTTCAGCAGACTTATTTACATCATCCCTTCCCCACAGAGGTGCTATGAACATTTAATTACATTATTAGCAAGCTGTCTAATCCCTGGTAGTCCTCATACACCTGACATTTGCATATTCTCCATAGCTATTTGTGGGAATTAAAAGATTGTGTTGAAAAGTGCCACAATTAAGTAATTCACTGTGAATATTTTTCCTCCTTAGCTCAGTGGCCATGTGGCTTAATGGAAAAGAAAATGGGTTTTAGTGTCAAAACGAACTATGATTTAAATTCAGACTCTGGTACTCTGTTAGTGATGCAATCTTGAATAAGTTAATTATCCATCTGGGTTTCTTTTTCCTTATCCACGAAATGGAAATAATAATACCTCCTCTATGACTATTACAGCATTCAATGAGAAAATGTGCTGAACATTTTCCATAGTACATGTTATAAATTAGACAATATATATTTTCTAGAAAACAGCAATTGTAGATGTTATACATGCCAACATGACTTATTTCAAAATTTGATTAAAAATAGTGTATGTGATGCTGTGTTATAATTTTAAATGAGAACAGACATACTTGGTTGATATTGAGTGAAAAATTAGCATTTGAATAAGAAATGTTTCTCTTTTTTTGTCTTTCCTCCCCCTTTTTCCAATCCAGGTCCTGAGGGAGTGTAACAAATTAGCAGAAATGGAGGAACCACCCTTGCTTCCAGGAGAAAATATTAAAGACATGGGTTTGTAAATTTTTTTGTTTGTTTAATTTCCTTCTCCGTTCGGACTGTACAGATGAGGCAGTACAGAAAATAGGCCCACAGTCAGCGAGCTCCCCTCCTGCCTGGCAGCCTTCATTACCTCTAGCCTTCCAGCCCCAGTGTGCTCGGCAAGCTGTCTGTAATGCTCCACTTGGACGACCAAGACACATACAAGTTGAATTCTGTGAAATGTGTTGTTATTTGAATGGCAGAACTGAGAGATTGTGTTGCATACGTAAGCATTGAATTGTCATGTTGAGCAAGTAATTCTCCTAAAACATATTCTCTCTTTATGGCTTCCTTTATGTTTTCTTATTTGTAATTAACCATGGTCATTTTTCGGATGAAAATAACTTCCTTTTCAGTGCTGAAACCCTGGTGGGGACTGAGCATGATAGTGGGACAGGAGGAAAATCAAGGGAAATAGAGGAAAGAGCTGAGAGGCAAAGGGCATTTATAGAGGTCTAGATAAAGATATGCACATATGCAAATATCTCTATATGAGGATGGGGAAATAGATCTATGTGCTTATATTTATAGGTGTAGTATTAAGGTAGCAGAAGGACATTGGGCCTCCACTCAAGTACTCCCTCAAAGCAAGAATATTTTCTTCTATCAAATTGGCATTCTATGATGCTCACCTTCCCGACACAACTGACAAAGCGGGTGCATAAGCAAATGTGGTGAAGAAAGCTGATGGTGCCCGGTTATCCAAAGATATAGCGTCTGGGGTCTTAAAAGCTTGAAGACAAACAAGCGGCCATCTAGCTCAGAAGCAACAAAGCCCACATGGAAGAACATATCAGCCTGTGTGATCACGAGGTGTCGAACAGATCACTGAAGACAAATGGGTGCATATAGGTACCTTTCTGTACACCTAAAGAACTAAGCATACATTTATAATATGAACTAGCCACTATAAACAAGCATTTAGGCTATTTCTTTTGTCCTAGTACTTTTACTTCACATCATTGGTGTGGATTACCTAGAAAATGTCCATGGAGTATGAAAAACAATGTAATATACTAGGAGAATAAAGCTAATGGTTTATGAGCCAAAGTAAAAACCAGTTTCATTTTTAAGAGTTTTAAGTGCTTAATTTTCCACAGGTGTTATTTTATTGTGTAAAAATAACACAAAGATGAACACTACACTTTAAATACCTTGTGTTATGGTTAAGCAATTGGTTGTTAATCAAAAGGTTAGCAGTTCGAAACTACTCGCCATTCCATGGGAGAAAGAGGTCACAGTCTCCGTTCATAAAGATAACAGCTTTGGAAGCCTGTTGATAGTTCTACTCTTCGAATTTAAATTTTAACTTCTTATCGGTTGGTGTGATGGATGTCTCTGGTTGCTCTCGACCTTGATTGAATGAATACCTCATCCATTTTTTTCCCCTGCCAGGCTGATGTATACTCGAGACTCTACTTTTGTTGAACTGCTTACTGAGGTTATAGCAAACAGTGTGGCATAACAATAATTATCATTATTGTAACCCAACTGTCTCATTTAATCACTCTTACAGTATTATTTTGAAACAGATGTTAACTGATTTCGAGCGATATGAGCAAACTAAGGTGTAGAGAGACTATCAAGCTAGTAAAATTAAAGACAGCTTTCTGATAATTTTCCCCCCTCTTCTAAACCTAAAGCCCTTGGGTTTCTACTGAAAAACTGTTTTTCATAAAAGGCTTTCTACCACGTAGTGTCTTCTGTTGAGCTCCCTTGCTGTAAATATCAACGCTGTGTTGGATTTCATCCTTGACACTTTTGCTTTTGTATATATTGTCTTTGGCTGACCATATCTGAATTAGTAGCCTCATCTATCATGTATATGCTGATGCGTCCAAAATTTGTTTCTGTGTCCTAGTACATACCTCTGTGTTAGTGCCGGTAGACTCGAGAAACAAATTCATAGGCACACATATATATATAAGAAAGAGGTTTATATAACAGAGCAATAGAATATTGAGAAAACGGCCCAGCCCAGTCCAAATCAAGTCCATAAGTCCGATATTATCCCATGTGTCCGATACCAATCTATAAAGTCCTCTTCTGACTCACAAAACACATGCAATAGTCCTGAATGCAGGAAGCTCACAGGCCAGTGGGTGGGAAGTCTTGTGGATCCAGAGGTGTTGTAATCATCTCAGCACTGGCAGAGGTCTCCACGTGGCTTCTCCAGCACCCAGGTCTGCATCACGGTGGGTCCATGTGGCTTCTCAGGGATGTCTTGGAGAGATTCAGCCTTGTCAGTAGAGAGTCTCCAAGGGAGTGAGGTGAGAGAGAGAGTCTCCCACCTCCCAGGGGGAAATACCAGAGATTCCAGAATCCTCAGGAGAAGGCCATGCCCATAGAGAGGCCTCATTGGCTATGTCAAGATTGACAGGCTAGATGCCACGCCTTTACTCTTAATCCTCAAATTGACACCAGATTATATAACTACCACAACCTCCTAGACACACATCTTTGCATCTTCTGTAAGAACCTTATGTATAACATCTCTAAATCTGAAATGATCTTTTCTAACCTTATATCTCTATTTGGATGCTGTGTGCTACTTGGGCACTTCTCTGATCTCGTTGCTGAATGGACTTTTCCTTCCTGTATTACTTAGAATATGGTTTTGTACCCCTTACTGCACAAATTGCATATTCTCATATATTAATTTTATATCTGTTTATTCCCATCCTCCACCTAGTTGTGTGTTCACTTCAAGGTCATTTTAGTATATCTCACAAAATCTATTATAGATCCCTCCTCTGCAGGCACAGTTAATATTTGAGAGGATGAATAAGTCTTTTGGTGCTGCTAGAAACATCATTTGTAAAGTTGACCCTGCTTTATGGCAACTGTACATACGTCAAATAGAACTGTAATCCATAGGGTTCTCAGTGGCTGATTTTTTAGAAGTAAATTGGCAAGCCTTTTATTGTGGGTGATGCAAAAGGTTAATGAAATGCTGGCCCATCAACCTCACCCCAAAATGCATTTCAGTTAGCTGCAAGTCACTAACCATTTGCATCACCCACAGTAAGTGACCTTATTGTCACTGTACAGTATTACCATTTCAAAATTTACAGGAATATCTAATGTGCTAGATTAAATATCCCAATTCAAAATCACCCATACAAACTTGATTTTTATGTCAAAAAATTTAAATTTAAATGAAAATATAAAGTATAAGGCTGGAGTAACTTTGTATATGTTGATTTATATGAAAAATATCTTTGATATTTAGTTAGCTTAATTTACAGCCACAGTTTAAATGTTTTCTTTAAAAATGAAAGCGTGTTCTGAACATCAGTAGAATAGGAAATAACAATTTTAGAAGTAGATGTAGCCCTAGTAAGTCCTTCCTTAGCACAGGGGCAGATATTAAACAGAATTTGTTAAATTAGTAGCTTAGTTTGAGATAGAAAGGCAGCATGATGTGGTGAAAAGAATTTGTGGTAAAAGGTACAGGATTCAGGTCTTAATCTTAGCAGTTAACGTTTTGGATGTTAAAGGAGGTACTCCAGTGGAACATAGTTTGTGGACTCTGAAGTGCTAGATCACCAACACTGATTGTTCACACTGTCATTTCTTCTGGTCGGTCTCCTAGGCACAATCTCCTTTATAGTTTGTATGAACTCTGCTGATGATAAACTCTATCTTCAGATTGATTTATCTGCCACCAACCAGCCTGAGGGGAAAAGTTAGGGGTTAGAACACAGTTGAACCCAATGATAATGATAATGACATAGTTGTAAACTCCGATATTTGTGTAAAACTCTATTTTAGAAGTGCTTTCATGTGTATTATTTCATGACTTTAGAGCAAGGAAAAGATACAGGAAAAAAAGTATTGGTCTACCATTGGTGTATTCTGTTGTGGAATGTAAAATAGAGCTGATTTAATGTAAAAATTCTTCAGAGCAAGAAAATGCGTGCAAGGCACAATTGTATATCTTTATATAGTGATGGGTTTATTTGGTTTTAAAAGTATCTCTTTAAATGAACTGCCCCGAAAAGTATTTACAGTAATGTAGTTCATACTCGAATATTCCTAGAGGGACTATTTTGAAGAGTAGACATGTTTGTTGAAAAAATTAGTCTCATTTCAGATTCCATACAAGGAAGTCATCCTTCAAAGTGATGAATAGGAAGCTAAGCCAGGAATTTGGAGTACCTTATTAAATTTATTTTATGGCCCTAAGTTTTCCCAAACACCTTTTGAAAGGAAGTTCTTAGAAATTGGTCATTCCAGAGTAGTGCATCTTACTTCCTTTGAGTGATAGTCCTTGAATTGTTGATTTGCACAATAATAATGTAGCAGAATTTATGAATATTTTAAGATATAAAACTTTATATATTAGTATTATGAACTCTGCCATATCAAATATTATTTTGGGCTAGTGATAGATGGCTGAATTATCTTATTTACCGTATATACTCGAGTATAAGCCAACCTGAGTATCAGTCTAGGCACCTGATTTTACCACAAAAACTGTATAAAAAATGTGCTGTAAAACTCGGCTTATACATGAGTGTGTTAGTCTGAGTACATTAGAGAAACAAATCCACAAAACCTCATATGTATAAGAGAGAGTTTCATATAAAGGGTAAGTGCGCATCAAGAAAACATCCCAACCCAGTGCTGCCCAAGCCCACAAGTCCAACATTAACCCATATGTCCAACACCAATCCACAAAGTCCTCCTCCATATCACAAAACAGGTGCAATGATGCCGACTGCAGGAGGAAAGCTGAGTCAGTGAATATGTAAGCATCTCAGCGCTGACAGGGGTCTCCACATGGCTACTCCAGCACCCAGGGCTGCATCGGGGTAGGTCCATGTGGCTTCTCCTCAGGGATGTCTTGTAGGAAGTGAGCTTTGCCAGCTGAAGCAGGGACCTGGCTAAGGCAGCTACACCCTGGTCCGACCATCAGAAAGCAAGAGACCCGAGAACTAGAAAGGCGAGGCTCACTGAGCCATTTATCTCTCCGCCCTTCAATTAACCCCACATGTGTTTATCGGCCAGGTTGGCACAATACACTTTAACTAGATCAACGAGTACATACGGTAATCAAGTAATTCCTGTTTTTAAGAACATAATATTGTTTAGATTGCTCACTTACCATTTCATGAAAGGTTACTAGTGAGTCTTTAGAAAGTTGTTTTGGCTAGGAATATAAGAGATTCTTATTAAAATACTATTTCTCTGAGAACATACACATTTCATGTACAGTACTTTCCCCAGAAATAAAATCTAAATAGTCAGAAGTTCCTGATGTTGATGTGTGTGTTTTGGGTATTGTATTTTTAGGGCAGTGTTGAAAAACTAGAAGGTGATCATAGGAAGACCAGCATATTAGTGAGAGAGCCCAGAAACTCTGCTAAGATCAACTGTGGCTGTGCCTTGTGATATGTAACCTCTGTTACCAAATGCCCCACCCTGACCCACCCCACCGCACCCGTTTTATCCAAGAGGAATAGTGGCCATCTTCGTTTTCTTCTGTTCCTTGTTAGGAAGAGATGTTCCTTTTCCTCATCAAACTCCGCCCCCATCTCCCCATGCCTTCCCCAGATTACTGCATGGTTAGATGCTTGGGATAGGCTTCTGAAGTCTGTAAGAATCATTGATTCTGTGACTTTTGAGCATAAAGTTAGATTAACAATCAGAATTTTATTAAGTTTTATTTGTGAAAAGATGAATGTAGTTTTTACTGATGTGTTGTGTGTAGTAAACTTTAAACTCTTTGCCTTTCCAGCCAAAGATGTGACTTATATATGTCCATTCACTGGTGCTGTAAGAGGAACTCTAACCGTCACAAATTACAGACTGTATTTCAAAAGCATGGAACGGGTAAGACTTGTTATTGAATTAGATTTTTGTATGTATGTCTGTATGTTTACAACAGTTTTGTTCATTTTTCATCCTTGTTAATGGAAGGATTTCTGGTAGGGTTTTTCTCAGCTATAATTATGCAGTATGTATTGCTCAGTTTTAATTAGCTGGTTTTCTTTTCCTTCCTTTAGGACCCTCCATTTGTTTTAGATGCTTCTCTTGGTGTTATAAGTAGAGTAGAAAAAATTGGTGGTGCTTCCAGTCGAGGTGAAAATTCTTATGGACTGGAAACCGTGTGTAAGGTAAATTTTACAATATAATTTTATTGTTTGAAATATGGTGTGTGTTTAGATACTGATTTCAGAAATATCAAATGAATTTAATATTAAGAAAGTCATTCTGGCAGAAGAAATAAATACCATTTATGAATAATAAAGAGAAATGTTAATGTATCATAAGTTAGATCTGACCTTTACTTTCGGCTCAAGTCAGCCTATATTCATATTGATATGATCACATATATTCATAGCATCATCTTTTCATATGGCCATAGTCAGTGTGCATAATACTATACAGGACGTAAAATACTTTCATGGCCATTGTTTCACTTGAGCCTGATAAAGAGTCTGAAGGTGTGACAGATACTATTACTTTTAATTTACAAATTAGAAACATGAGCCTCCAAACAATTAAAGCATAGTACTTTGTAGTGCATAGCTTGGATATGATGTAGTCATCATCATCTATCATTTCTGTTTCTAGCTTTCATGCTTTTTCTGCTTCTGAAACAATGGTGGGAAATTTTGATATTGTAGCCCTTCAATGTTTTCTTATCTACTGCCACTCTGTAAGTGCATTGTCTCATGAATGGAACTTAGATTATATTTGTTACATTTTTACCACTAAATCAAAGGCATTTAATGCTATATACTACTTCCACCATTCAATGTTATTGTGGTCTAATTGCACCTACACAAATCACGATTTGTGGTAAGATTTTTCTTTATTCCATTTCCTCTTCTGCCTGTTCCAAAAGTACAAGCACAGGCACATATGCAGTTTAAAATGCTGATAGAGTTCTTAGGTCAAAATCTGTTAAAAAAATTCTTCCTTAGAGATTTTGTGAATATAGTGTCGTGACTTTGTATTCATTTGTATGCTTTTCTATTATAGTTAAAAGGGCTCTGATGAATATATCTGTCAGACATGTGTCAAGCATTCTCTGTTCTCATCACTTTTCTTTAATTTAAAGTAAATAGAGTACAGAGTATAAGAAGGTAAGAGGAGAGCCATGAAATCTTATCATTTAAAATATAATTTTATTCTGTGGAATAAAATGATGATCAACAATTTTTAACACTTGTGGGGCCCCGCTATGGTAGTTTGGGAGCAATTCTGTGGTTAAGGGTGATTCTGAGTACTTCTTAGTTTTTAAAAATAGTAAAGCTGACATTCTAGTTTTGTATCAGATTTGTAATATGGTGAATTTCTTGCTCATATGCTTGTAGGTACAGTGGCTTCCTTTATATAAGAACAACGGGCTTGTATAGGGCATGTTTATCTACTGATTGGACTTAATATGGGAATTAATATATTCAATCTTGCCCTGATAAGTACTCCCTTGAAAGGCAAGAGAGTTATTTGCATTTGTGACATAGTGTTTGCCTTCTGCTTAATTTTTGATTATACCATATACACTCGTGTATAAGCCGAGTATTTCAGCACATTTTCAATGCAGTTTTTGTGGTAAGATTAGGTAGTATATAGGTACCTCAAGTTAGAATATGCTATCTAAATGTAGCAATGATTGCTGTAAGTAGTAAAGTGTCTGTTCAGTTTTATAGTGTGGGGAATAACAAAGCTATTTGAGTTCTGCCTATTGTAAAACATTTAAATTAAATGAATAGTCTTAAAATTATTTTTTTCAGACGTCAGACAGTGTAATATATGATAAAATAATAATTTATAAATTATCAAGGGTTCATGAGGGAGGGAGGAGCAGGGAGGAAGGGGAAAAAAATGAGGAGCTGATGCCAGGGGCTTAATGTTTTGAGAATGAAGAGGGCAATGAATGTCCAAATGTGCTTTACACAATTGATGTATGTATGGATTGTGATAAGAGTTGTATGAGCCCCTAATAAAATGATTTTAAAAAATTTAGTTGTTTTCTTTGAACTTTTTATTGTGAATTAGGTGATGGGGTTTTACTTATTGGGTCATAATTTTTACATTCTACATCTCAGCCTTCAGTGGCTTGCTCTGTTCCTTCCCACTGCACTTGCTTGATCCAACTCCCTCTTGTAGTATGTTACTGTTCCCATCACCAAAGTTAACATATATCTGTAATACAGTGTTTCCCTTTCTACCGTTGCTCTCATTCCTAGTAACCATCAAATTGTTTCTTTTGGCATAAAAACATACATACAAGGGATACTCCCCACAAAAGAGAAGAAAAAGCTCCACTGGGCAGAGCTTTCATACTATACATTTTTCCTGCTAGGAGAGGATTCATCAAATCGCTCTGAGTTGGTGCACCCAGTGGCATTGCCTGGGAAGGTTCTCTGTGGTCACAGTGAATTTTTTCATAAAAGCAGTTTTGCTTCAACCACCTTTTTTGTGATGGTCTACTTAAGAGAACAGTATGCGACTCTGAAATTTTGTTTCCTGCCCTGGGAAGCACTGTAGAAACTGTTGTGATGTTGAACACAGCTTACAAGGACAGCTCTATGGGAAAAATTTAAGTGTGCGAGTGGTTTTCTTGTTTCAAAAAAGGTGAAATGTCAATCGATGACAAAGCTTGTTCTGAACATCCATGAACTTCCCAAAGGGACGAGAGTGTCAACAAGATTGGTGCCCTTGTGCTCAAAGACCAACGAGGGACCATTGAAAAGATGGAGAAGTTATTGGGACTATCTTGGAGCTCGGTTCAGAGAATTTTAATGAAAGATTTGGGAATGAGGAGTCGCTGCAAAATTTGAGCCTCGGGTCCTGACTGACCAGGGAAAAGAGTGTCAACTGGAAGCATGCTGTGCTTTGAAAGAACAGCTCCAAAGTGATCCAGACTTATTTCCAAGGTCATAACTGGTGACAAGACATGGTGGTATTCTTATGACCCTGAAAATAAATATCAGTCAACTCAGTGGAAGAAACCGTCATCACCTTGCCCCCCCAAAGTTCATCAAGTGAAATCAAAGATCAAGACAATGCTTATTGTTTTTTTGATGTGAAGTGGGTAGCGCATTTGGAGTTAGTTCCACCAAATCAGACTGTTAATCAAGCTTTCTATTTAGAGCAGTGGTTCTCAACCTTCCTAAAGCTGCTACCTTTTAATACAGTTCCTTACACTGTGGTGACCCCCCTCAGCCATAAAATTATTTTCGTTGCTACTTCATCACTGTCATTTTGCTACTGTTATGAATCAGGCGACCCCGGTGAAAGGGGTCGTGACCCGCAGCTTGAGAACTGCTGATTTAGCGGTTCTGAAAAGATTACATTATGTAACAGTGTGCCACAAAAACCGCTTGACTTGTGGCAGATGGGGGACTGGTTTTGCCACCACGACAATGCACATGCTCACGGAGCCATCTCAGTGCACCAGTTTTTGGCCCCATGCACCAGACTCACCTGACCTGGCTCCGTATGACTTCTTTTTGTTTCCATGAATGAAGAGGGACGAAAGGATAGTGATTTTATGATGTGGAAGAGGTGAAGAAAATAAGGGAGGTGTTGTCAGCCATCCAAACAGATGAATTTGAAAAATGTTTCCAAAAATGGAATTGCAGATTTGACAAATGTATTAAGTGTAATGGAGAGTACCTTGAAGGTGATAAGGCTGTTTTGCAAAAAAAATTTAACTATATAGCTTTGAAAAAAATTCTGTTTTTTGGGGGGGCTACCCCCTCCTATGTAATCAGCCATATATATGATAATTTGTGTGTTGGTGAGGTGATTAGCTTCACTCAGCATAATGACCATGTCATGAGGTGTTTTATAGTTTCATTATTATTCTTTAACAGTGCATAGTACTCTTGTGTATATGTAGCAAAGTTTACTTATCTATTGTTTCCACGAGTGGGCATTTAGGCTATTTCTATACCCTTACTATTATGTTTAGTGGTGCCATGGACATGAGTATGATTTTATCTGGTCGTGGTGTATTCTTTATTTCTAAGGGGCATATACCATTCGCACTATTGCTGGGTCATGTGGTACTTCTGTTCCCAGTTCAGTTGTTTGAGGAAGTACCATATAACATCAACAGTCTAGTAGCAGGAAGCTTTATGGGGTGAACGTCCGATGTAAATGAGTCCTGGGAGGGGAACTCTCAAACTCACTGACTATGAGTCAATTCCAACTCCTAATGACCCTTGAAGAAGGGTAGTACTTCCCCTGTGTGTTTGCAATACTGTAAATCTTTACAGGCGTAGAAAGCCTCATCTTTTCACCAACGAGGGCATAGTGTGTAAGAGAATAATTACCAAATATAGTGGGAATGGAGACACATATGACAGAAAATGGGCTTACTCATTAAAAAAAAGAAAAAAAAGAAAACATTGATAGTGTGTGTCTACCATCATATTCACATATAATACTTCTCGAGTGCTATATTAAATGCTACCTAAATGCTATATTAAAGTGTTTTGTCTCTTTTTTTTTTCACAATAAGTCATCATAAAATACCCTGCCTCCAGGATCCATTGTGTGATTTATTTTTGTATCCTACATTAATAAGCCTTAATCTTTTATGTAATAATTTTAAGTAATCTTGATTGACTAAAGTAATAAATCTTTCCTAGGATATCCGGAATTTAAGGTTTGCTCATAAGCCAGAGGGGCGAACAAGAAGGTCCATATTTGAGAATCTAATGAAGTATGCATTCCCTGTCTCTAATAACCTGGTAAAGTCTTATTACTTTTCCTGCTTTTCCCCTTAAGCAATTGTGTCATTTAGGTTTGTTTAATCTAGTGTTTGGGGCCAATTTATTCAGGTATAAAAATTTGAGGAAGCCAGACTTGCTGATTTTTGAGGCTTGTGCCCACTCTTATATTCTATAATTCTATGACTCTCCTGTCTACGGTACATGTAGTTCTTTATTAACTCAAAAAACTCACTGCTTTCGAATTGATTCCCACTCAAAATGACCTTATAGTACCAGAAAAACTGTCCTTTGGGTTTCTAAGACTATTTATGGGCTAGAAAGCCTTCTGTAGAGTAGCTTGTGGCTCTGAACTCGTGGTTAGAAGTCCAAACCCTAGCCTTTGTGCCAGCATGGCTTCTGTTTGGATTTGAAATCTCCTTTGCCATTGGGATCTTAGAATAAAGGTGAACATTTTTGGAACAAAGTGAAAGGAAGAAATTTCTGGATTCCTGCTGTGTGCTATTAACAATGTTAAACTCACACATTTACAATTTATAATTTTAAATGCCACTATAACTCTGTGGTGACAGTAATTTCATTTATCCCCATTTAGAGAGGAAACTAGAATATAGTAAGCTGTTAACTCAGAGGAAATAGAGCGTAGCACTGAGCCTCAACACTGAGCCTCTTTTGACATCAGTTTCTCAATGTTTTACATCATAGTTTTTATGTATAAAAAATTGGTCACTTTATTTATTTATTTATTTTTCTTTTTTAACATTTTATTAGGGGCTCATACAACTGTTATCCCAATTCATACACACATCAATTGTGTAAAGCGCATTTGTACATCGTTTCTCAAAACATTTTCTCTCCATTTAAACCCCCGACATTAGGTCCTCATTTTTCCCCTCCCTCCCCCTCCCCCCTCCCGCATGAGCCCTTCATAGTTTATAAATGGGTATTTTGTCATATCTTGCCCTGTCCGACGTCTCCCTTCATCCATCCACTTTTTGGTTGTCTGTCCCCCAGGGAGGAGGTCACACACAGTTCCATGTAATCGGTTCCCTCTTTCCTATCCATTCTCCCTTTACTCTCCCTGTTTTGCCACTCACACCACTGGTCCTATAGGGCTCATCCGTCCTGGATTCCCTGTATTTTCAGTTCCTATCTGTAAAAAATTGGTCACTTTAAATGAGTTTTGTGAGTACCCAGATTATAAATTACATGCTAAAATTTAAAAGGTTCTTTCATACTTAAGAATGTATAACAGAAACTTCAAAGTTGCTTACCTGCTGATTTCTGTATTGTCTTAGTTGTACAATTTATTTTTGAGAATCAAATTTAGAACAGCTACCAAAGTTAGCGGAAAAGATATTTTGAAATTTGGTGAACTCTTGGGTGGTGAGTCTCTGAGTTTCAGTATATATTTGAATAATATTTCCAAAAACAAATAAAAATAAATGTTTCAAAATTGTAAAACAAAACTAAAATAGCAAGTCACTCATAGATAAGAATATGAAAACTTTGTGTCTGATAAAGATGCTAAGGCATTTAAAAAAGTTTGCAGAAAACTGGAATTAAAAGTTAATGAAATTTTTTCCACAACCTTTTTGAAAGCCTTGTGTTTCGGATACCTTACTTAGCTATTAACACTATGCTTTTTTTTAAAGCCTCTCTTTGCTTTTGAATACAAAGAAGTATTCTCTGAAAATGGGTGGAAGGTATATGATCCTCTTTTAGAGCACAGACGGCAGGTATGTACTTCGCTTTTTGTTTTTTGCTTTCTTTAATTTTAGTAGTCTTATGTTCTTGTTACAGACATGTAATGAGAAGAAAGCAGTTTTCTCTGGTTTAAATTTTCTTTAAAATTGTTTTTGTATTTTAAATGTAGGCTTATCTGGATTGTTTGGCTTTTAGTTTCTGTTGAGCAGTGTTTCAGAATATGTTAAAACTTTTTTATGAATTCTTAACATTCTGTGAGTACATGAGTTTATTGTTTAAAATGTTTTAGCATTTTTATAAATGAAAATAGAGTTGAGTATATGAGGGGGTACCCAAAAAAACTGGAATATTTTTTCAAAACTATGTATTTAAATTTGTCTACAAATCAACCATATCACCTTCAAAGTATTCTCCATT